AAATTAAGTCAATAAGATTATCGTGACATTTTAATTTGATCTCATGTCTCAAAAAACACAGACATTTTAATTAATACATATAATACTATCATTTTAAACTGATAATCGTGACATTTTAATTTTGTAAGATCTTTACTAATTAATATTAGTACACTAATTAATACATGCAATACTACCATTAAAATATTAAAACAAGACTTTTAATAAACTCTATAAAATCTTTAAATTCTCTCAAATTTAGGCCTCGTTTGGGAACAGGCTAATTTAGTAACTTTTTGGCTATTTGACTAAAATATGAGCTAAAAAAAACTAGTATGTTTGGAATGATTTTTTGACTTTTTACGAAAAGATATGCAAAAAGTAGAGAGAAAAGAGAATCTTTAATTTTTTGATATGAATTATTGACTTTTTGACTAATTTAATAATTTTTTGACTTTTTAACTAAAAAATTCAGTTACCAAACGGAGCCTTAAACTTGAGATAAATTCGACTCTTCGTATATAAGCTGTGGTTTGATTTGTTGGTAGTAGTAACTAAGGCCTTGTCAGATCCAGATATCTCCGTCATTTTTTGGGTCTAGTCGTCATTTAACACTTTATCCAAAAATCATAATAACATGTGTAGCTTTTGGATCACAGTCACAATCACAGTCAATGAAAACTTAATAATACAATAAATATTATACGTTGGAAGAAAATGTGATGTCGGCGGTTAGAGTAGGGGAGAGAAAAGAAAGACAAAAGTGGGTGAGCTGGAGTTGAGAGGTCGCATTTAACACGGGTGGGGGCTAAAGTGTGTTTGTGTGTGTTCTTCTTTTGTCATTGGCCAGCCAACCACTTGTGATGAGTGTGGTGGAGGGCCCAATCACCAGAGTCAGGAGCCTCTCCTTGCAAGCTTGTGCTTGTGTCCGTCCTTACAGGCCTTCGGGTCTATTTTTAGGCCTAATTTTGATAATCCGAACCGTTTATATTTTATTATTTATTCAGTATATCATACCTGTAAAAAATCAAGTTGATCGGATATCAGAAAGTATGTGTTTGAAAAATTGAACTAAACACTATTTTTTAAAGAATTTAATAAACAGTTTTCCGAACATATGCTTTCTGATATCCGATCAACTTGATTTTTTACAGGTATGATATACTAAATAAATCATAAAATATGAACGGTTCGGATTATCAAAATTAGGCCTAAAAATAGACCCGAAGGCTTGCAAGGACGGACGCAAGCACGGAAGCTGCAAGGAGAGGATCCTCACTCCAATCACCAACCCAACATATAAACATTAAGGAAGGAGAACTACATCCCACTGGACATAATTTTTTTATTTTTTTTTAACAAACATGAAGCACCCTTACAACTTTTTAATTGTATTCTATTACAGAACCAATTATATCTCATATATTTTTATAATTTTTTTTCTTTGTTTTACTGTGTTGTAATTTCTCTTCAACCTCATAAGAAAATTATATAATAGTCTCGGAATACTGCGTGATTATACTCCTTCACCGATCATCATATATTATATCTTTTCATGTTCCTCAATCACCTAATACAAATAATCAATACTCTATATTTTTCATCAATCATACTAGCATGGAGCACCAACATTATATGGATAAATTACACTTATACCCCTTAAGGTTTGGATTTAATACATATTACCCCTGACATTTGGGAAAGAAAAATGTTTTTTTTCCCGAATTTGAGCCCCCCCGAACCCCCCGAATCAGATAGAAGAGAAGAGAGAAAGAGAAGAGAGGGGAAGAGATGGCAGCCCCTCCGCCCGCCGTCGCCTCCGCCCGATCGTCGCCCCGCCGTCGCCTCGTCGCAGCCCCGCCGTCGCCTCCGCCTCTGCCTCGCAACCCCCGCCTCTGCCCCCTGCCTCTGCCTCTGCCTCCGCCCCCGCCCCCCACCTCCGCCTCTTCTTCTTCTTTTTCTTTCTTCTTTCTTTTTTCTTCTTTCTTCTTCTTGTTCTTCTTTCCTGGTTGAACAAAAAAAAAAATTCAAAACGACGAAACGACATCATTTTGAATTTGGGGGATTCGGGCGCCCTCCCTTTCGAGGTACGTAGCACAACTCATTGTTGATTTTAGGATTTTTATTCAATTCCTAACTATTATCAAATAAATTATTAAATATCTATTGGGTAGATATAATATATTAAAAATATATTATATCCAAACCAAACCAAATTAAAATTCTTTTAACAAATCAATTGGGTCTCATACTGAGATATACCCCCAACAAACTATTTTATGTCATAAATACACCTCTTGAGGTTTGCTTAAAGTATATATTGTCCCCTGTGGTTTGAAAAATTACAAATACCTCCTTGTTAGTGTTTTTCATTTAACAGAGTTAACTAAAAAAATAAAATTTATAATTGTTCTCCTATATAATAATAAAATTACCTAAATTATTAATTGAAACATATTTCTAATATCATTAAAAACTGTTAATTGACTTGATGATTTATTAATAAAATGGGCGAAATCATGTCTATCTACAGAATAAATTTAAAAAGTGAACTTGTATGTTATTTTTCAAGTGTTGATTAGCGACAAGGGGAGTGGTTATTTGATGATCTTATAATATTACTCCACGCCACTTTTAACCTCCTGACACGTCATATTTATTTTAATACATTAACAAAAAAATACTAAATATTTATAATTTTAATTAATAAATATCAAATTAAAACATTACATGAATTTGACAAAGAATACACAAAATTTTCCTCGAGAAGGGTGACCACACATTTTGTTCGGCGCAACCACAAAAACCGTTTGGCAGATATCTTATAAGTGAAACTTTTTTTTTTTTCCTTTTTGGGTAAAATAGAAGTTAAGCTGCTTCTTTTTTTTTTCTCTTTAATCAGGAAAAAATCTTCCTTATAAAACTAATACAAAATTAGATTAATCTCGTACAATGGTAGCAAAAGATCTCATAAAGAGATAACAAACTTATATAAAAAGAAAAATCCTAACCATCATAGAGGAGGAGAAAAAATTCTCACAAAAAAAGGACACAGCCTCCACACAAGGAGGATTATTAAATAATAAAAAAAATAAAAAAATAAACGAAAACAACCAAATTCGAGTCGCCAAACGCATCCAAAACTCCCTTACACCACAACCTTCAATTTCAAATCTAAACAAATAGAACATTAAGATTGAGGTAGTCGCCTAGCATGAAACGAACGCGTTAAATAATGTCGATCTTCGGATTGTGAGAAAATTTGAAACCAAATCTCTAAGTTTTGGGCGAAAGGGTGAAAGTTTGGACGTAAACTAAACATCAAATTTGCAAGATTGGAAAGAGGGAGAGATGATGCCAACACTAGTGGCCAAAGGCAAATCTGAAAAAGATGTGACAGATCTAGTAAAGGTGGATCTATAGAGACAGAAAGGTAGCAAATTTAGTAGCAGTGTGGTGCCGTTGCCATTGAAAAGAGTTGTAAGGACAAGCTTCGAATATTATTAAACAAAAAAACAAAAAAAAATGAGAAAAAGAGAGTGAAAGGAAGAGAGAGGAGGCTGGGGGTAGAAACCCCTCCCCACTTCCGATGGTACACCCAGCAGAAGGCTTAGAGAGGTAGGCTTATAGGGATTTTTCTAGTTAGGTTCGCATGAATTTTGTGACAAATTGAAGTTAAACTTAATGGTTAAAGTTGTTTAGATTAAGACCAATAAGTGAAAAGTTCAAATTTATAAGATCATTTGTTATTTAGTTCAAAATTTAATATATTTTGGCACAAAAAGTCACTGAAAAAAGTTATTGGTGGCTAACAATCGGTCACAGCTGGTGGCGTAAATGAATAGATAAGTAAAATTTAATCATATAGTTAGACGGATAGATTACACGTGTATAGATAGATAATATTTGAACAAATACATTACATTTGTATATTTGGACATATATGAATATTCGAACAGATAAACAAAACATTTTGACATATATATTTAACTTTCTTTTATTTAAATTTTATTTCATGAATAGGAATTTGACAGACAGGCTATTGGGGTGTTTCTGTTTAAATAATTTAAATTGTCATTTATAAAACTCTACATATATATAATCCATGACAAAAAAAAAATTTACGTGTTACAACTCTGGAAGCCTGCTCTTAATCTTTTATTTTTTTTTATAATAAAAAAATCCAATAATAGAATTGACTCCAACTTATTTCTATATAGAAATTATATAGAATTAAAAAGCGCAATACAATAATAAAAATAATAATAATAGGTTAGACCTAATCAGCTTTCAACACGTTTTCGTAGTTTTGGTCAACTAACACAGTCATTTTTATTTGACAATCAACTATTACCGTACAAAAAAAATCAGAAGTCAAACTGTGCAACTGCAACATGAGAAAATACCCAAACTATTCTTCCCCAAGCATATTGATGGTTAAAGCTATGTTTAGTTGACTTTTTTTTCACTAAAAAAATTCAAAGATAAAATTGACTACGTAAGTCAATAAGATAAAATATCACGTCTAAATCATAATCATTACACTTTTTTCTCACAAAAGTCAAAAAAATCAAAAACAAAAACCAAACGAGATTAAAAAAAGTCAGACTAAAATAGCCAAAAAGTCATACTATTTTAACTCTTTCCAAACGAAGAAAGTATACAAATCAATATCTCACTCATAACCCCACACCAAATTTAAAATAAATAAATCTAAATGCATAAATAATTTTCACATAATAAAAAATATGTAAAATAAATAATAAGCTCCACATATATTGAACCCTACAAGTGAAATCCACCCTTTTATCTCATATCTATATCTTATTCTATGAAAATCTTATGTACTCTTAAAATAGCTGATTAAAAATTATTTTGGTTAATGACCACACATTTAAAGGCAAAATTCATGCCCATCTTGAGACCATTCTTTTGTCTCATTTGTCCTTTCCAACCATCAAAAGCATTATTCTTGATGGAAGTTGGATTATCAAAATAGAAGAATAAAAAGAATACCCACATCACAAAGAACCAATATATTTCATCCATTGTGCTTCTTGCAACACAGATAATGAGGAAGACAAACCTCCACCATTCGGGTCTGAAAATGACAGGTTAATGACAACTTGACCTAAGATTGATATAAACTATATGCAGAGCTGAGACAATTCTTTCATGAGCAAATAATATTTTTCAACGGGTGAGATAACTAGCCAATCTAGACATGTCTGTCCTAAGCCCTACACTCACTCAATTCATATTCCACCAACTTGCAACCAGAATAACATGAAGTCACAATCGAGGAGACGATCATTATTTGTCGATCTTTGAATTCCATTGCTAGCTTTACATCCCAACTAGTACTTTGCAAGTCAAGATGACAATTTCATTAATCAGAATAGGAAAATACTATGCTGGCTCAACCACAAAGACTGCATTACAAGCATGAGAGAGTGTTGTTTACCTGTCGTCAAGATTAGTCTCGCCAAGGGTTTCCAACATGTCTTCGAAGGTAGAACGGAGGTCTTCTAGAACTTCCAACTCAATTTCTAACTTCTCCTGTGTTTAAAATGATTCAATACATAAGAATTATACTCTGATTAAGAAAGAAATAAAAATAAAATTCAGAGCATGACTTTAGTTATCGCAGTCAAGCACACTCAATTTGAATGCAAATATTGAGCCAATTGGACTACTTTTTGACAACTATTTTTTGGGGCTTTTCATGGGTTCTGTCTTTTTCTGCAAAATATTGATGTTATCTAAAATATGGCATAAAAAGACAAAAAAATTGCCTAAAAAAGCATAAATAGGCTAAAAGAAACAGAAAAGCACTCGTCAAACATGCAAGGCAAGAAAACCCATGGTTGTAGAATAGCTGGGATGACTCAGCCTTCCAAAGTGAGCGAGCTGGATTCAAAACTCCAACCACTGATGCCAGCACTCTACTTGGAACAATGTAGGTATTTGGCTCGTGCAAGTTGGCTGATACCTGGCATGTATCCTCCAGTCCACACACACAGGCATACAAAATGGAAAACAAGAGAAGAGAGTTACATGGATATTATTCTGGAACATAGGAGACTGAGCTCTACGGAAATGATCTAATAAAGGAGGCGGCAACCCATAATGAAACATGCCATGGTTCTTTGAGAGCCAAGTACCCCGCACCATGTGGTTGGTCCAATTAGACATAGGGCAGTTGTCCTCAGAACAATCAGTTATGGTAGCATCTAATTCTGCAATTGAAAAAGACTAACATATGATCTATTAATTCAAATGAAAATAATAACTGATGGAAAGTGGTGAATTGAACACATATACAAACATGGTAGGAAGATACATATACATACAAACCCATATGACATTGAATATGATATTCCTTTTCGTTTTTTTCTTCTACTTTTTTTTTTTTTAATAATTATGTTGGCCAGAAGAAATAGTAAAGTTGAAATAATAGCTTCTAGATCGTCAAACAAGTACAATTGTTCACATGGAAAAATTCGAGCATATAAGTAGACAATGAAAATGTACCTTCAGGAGGTTATTGTGTAAGATGTCTACTATCACGCTTCACTCTGTGTGTGTGACTTGTTAGCATTATATATTATTATTTTGTAATTATTCTATACCTTAAGGCTCCCTTGTAATTATTAATCTTCATTAATATAAATAGGGGATAATATCCTAATCATCTCCTAATCTTGAAATTCCTCAAAATAACATGGTATCAGAGCCAAACCCTAAAACCTAAATTTCTCACCTATACAGTCGTCAATTGCCACTACAGAGCCAGACGTCACACCCCCTTCGACACAAATAGAGCCAGTCGCCAACAGAGCCAGTCGACACACACAGAGCCACCATAGAGCCAGTTGTCGTTGGGCTCTCCAGTCGTTGTTGGGCTCCCCAGCCTAGTCGGCCACCACAAAGCCAGCCGTTGGGCTCTCCCAGCCCAGTTGACCACTGCCGTCAGGCCTCCTGGCCTTAGCGTCGTTGGCGAGGGACGCGAAAGGTTGAGTCGTCGTCTGTCCCTGTCGTCTGCTTCGTTGCGCTACGTGTGGTCTGGTATGTAAGCTGAGTTACATTCTGTGGTCTGTATTCAACAAACTAAACCTTCGTTTTTCCCCTTTAATCCTAAAAAATAAAAAAATAAAAAATGCAATAAAGAGAAAAACAAAACAAAACAAAACAAAAGGAAAGGAAAAAAGTGGATGATGAAATTTTTAAGTCTTTAATTTTTCTTAGTGGTCATTGTGTTTGTATTCCTCCATCTTCCGGGTTTGTGATTGACACTAGTTTTGTTCAGGGTTCGGTAGTACAGTATCTATGGAAGATTCCACCGGTGTATCCACTACTTCTCAGACACCTAGAAGTGAGAGTTTCCCTATACCTACTACAATGACTGATAACCCCAACCCTAGTCTTAAAATCACTACCTCTCTATTTAATGGTCAGAACTCTCTCATGGTCGCAGAGTTTGACTAGGTTTTTGAAGAGCAGAGAAAAGATGGGGTATGTGGATGGCCGGATACAGGCACCCAGCACAACTGACCCGAGTTATGACCAATGGGAGATTACCAACTCTTTGATTATGGGTTGGCTTATTCATTCGATGGTGCCAGACATTGGCGAGGACTACTTATCTATGGAGACTGCCCAAGATGTTTGGGATACTATGGCTACCACCTACTCCCGCAAAGGGAATTTTTCATAGGCATTTGAGTTACACCGCTCTATTGAGAGCTCTGTTCAGGGGGAGCAGATGGTTCTTCAGTACTTTACCTTCCTCACCAATGGCTGGAAATGCCTTGATCACTTGCAGGACTATAAGCCTGTTTGCACTGTTGATTCAGTCGGGTACCGAAAGTTTATTGCACAGGAAAGGGTCTTCAAGTTTCTAGCCGTTCTCAATGTGGAGTATGATCCGGTTCGGAGTCAGGTTCTGAGTATGAACACACTTCCTTCACTTTAGGAGGCATTTGCCTATGTATAGAATGAGGAGAGTCGTCGGTCTGCTATGATGTCCCCTGTCTCTACCGACCACTCAGCATTACTGTCTACCTCTTAAGATGGCCTCAGCTTGACTCCTATCCCTCCGTCTACCACCAAGGAGTCTGTATTCTGTGATTACTGTAAAAAGCCGCAGCATACTTGTGAGACGTGTTGGAAGCTTCATGGGATTCCATCTGGGGGTCGAGGTGATCGGTCTGGTACTAGAGGAGGTCAGTCAGGCCAGTCTCGAGGACGTGGCTCCAATTCACGGGTTCATCAGTCTAGTGCCGTTGATACACTTGATGCTACTTCCGCTTCCGTTGGCCAGGCTTCTGATGGTCTCTGTGGCATGACTATTCCTGAGCTTGAGGATGTTCTGCGTCACTTGTTGGACCGCCGGTCTTGTACTACTCTCAGTACATCTTCATCGTCGTTTGTCCGATTAGGTAACTTAGCCTCTTCTCCGAGTGTTTTTCTATTTCATAAGTCTTTGCCCTGGATTATTGATTCTGGTGCCTCAAATCATATGTCTGGATCTTCTGACCTTTTCTCTGCCTATAAGCCATCTTCATATTAGGACAAAGTTAGGATTGCAGATGGTACTGTTTCTTCCATTTCTGGGAAAGGTTTAATCCATGTCACTCCTACCATACCTTTATCTTCTGTTCTCCATGTTTCCAATTTTTCTGATAACCTATTATCCTTGAGTCGTATTACCTAGGATTCGAATTGTAGTGTGACGTTTTTTCCTGATCATTATTTTTTTCAGGACATTATCACGAGGAGGACGATTAACAGTGGTAGTGCAGAAAATGGTCTCTTCTTCCTGGATCAACCAGACAAGCTTGCTTATTCTTCCACCACGAGTCCTACTACCCAAGATGATTTATGGCTGTGGCATCGGCGTCTTGGGCATCATTCTTTTTATTTACTTAAGCATTTATTTCCATTTGGTTTCGCAAACAATAATGTGTCTGAGTTTCTTTGTGAGTCTTGTCAACTTGGAAAACAACACAGAGCTTCTTTTGCTCCCAGATTTAATAAAAGTTTAGTTCCTTTTTCATTAATACATTTTGATGTTTGGGGTTCATCTCGTGTTATGTCTGTGAAAGGTCATCGATGGTTTGTTACATTTATTGATGATTTTTCTCGTACTACTTGGGTGTATCTCATGAAAGACAAGAGTGAGGTTTTCTCTGTGTTCCATTCTTCCACCACGAGTCCTACTACCCAAGATGATTTATGGCTGTGGCATCGGCGTCTTGGGCATCATTCTTTTTATTTACTTAAGCATTTATTTCCATCTGGTTTCGCAAACAATAATGTGTCTGAGTTTTTTTGTGAGTCTTGTCAACTTGGAAAACAACACAGAGCTTCTTTTGCTCCCAGTTTTAATAAAAGTTTAGTTCCTTTTTCATTAATACATTTTGATGTTTGAGGTCCCTCTTGTGTTATGTCTGTGAAAGGTTATCGATGGTTTGTTACATTTATTGATGATTTTTCTCGTACTACTTGGGTGTATCTCATGAAAGACAAGAGTGAGGTTTTCTCTGTGTTCCGTAATTTTCATCAGTTGATTTGTACTTAGTTTGGGGCCACTGTCAAAATAGTCCGTTCTGATAATGGGGGTGAATACATAGATTTTGGGTTAGGGCAATATTTTTCTACTCATGGCATTATCCATCAGACCTCTTGCACCAATACCCCTCAACAAAATGAGGTGGCGGAACGCAAGAATTGCCATCTTCTTGACATGACTTAGTGCATGTGTTTTTCTATGAGTGTGCCTTGGTCCTACTGGAGCGACGCTGTTCTCACCGCTACCCATCTTATTAATCGTCTTCCTACCCAAGTCTTGCAAAAGCAAGCTCCTTTTCAAGTCCTCGGTTCCCGGTCCTTGTTTTCTATTCCTCCCAAGATATTTGGTTGTGTCTGTTTTGTCCATAATCACTCTCTTACTCGTGGTAAGTTGGACCCTCGCTCCCTCCAATGTGTTTTCCTTGGTTACTCTCCTATTCAAAAAAGGTATAAGTGTTACCACCCTCCTTCTCGTAAGTGGTTTGTGTCCATGGATGTCACTTTCTTTGAGTCCCAGTCCTATTTCTTGTCCTCTCCGGTGTCACAGTCGTCTTCCCTTTAGGGGGATCCTTGGTGTGAAATGATTCCTGTGATTCCTATGGTGGAACCAATTGTTCTTGCACCACGACCTCTTACTGGTAAGACTACAGAACCCAATGTCACCAAGGATAAGGAAGGGCAAGTTTATGTCAGGGACAGAGACAAATAAAAAGTTAACTGGATACAAGAGACCACTTCTGCTCCTCCATTGCCATCTCTTGCTTCTGATGAGAGTCCAGGTAACTTTGAATCTCTTGAGTCAATTGATCTTGATGTTCCTATTGCCAAGAGAAAGGGTGTGAGATCTTGTACTCAACATCCTAGCTCACATTTTGTGTCCTACTCTTATTTGTCATCTTCATACAGAGCGTTTGTGTCAAATATTTCCTCTGTTAACATTCCTAACCATTTTCAAGATTGCTACCTCTGAGTGAAAACTTGCCATGATTGAGGAAATAAAAACACGTAGGAAGAATGGCACTTGGGAATTGACTGAGTTACCTACAGGAAAACGACCTGTGGGATGCAAATGGGTGTATACTGTAAAACACAAAGCGGATGGTTCTATTGAGCGTTACAAGGCAAGACTTGTGGCAAAAGGTTCATTCATATATATGGTGTTGACTATCAAGAGACCTTTGCACCCTGGCTAAGATGAATTCAGTTAGAGTACTCTCTCTAACAACTAATCTAGATCGATCACTTCATCAGTTTGATGTAAAGAATGTCTTTCTCCATGGTGACCTCGAAGAAGAGGTATATATGGACATTCCTCTTGGTTTTGAGGATCATCAGACAGAAGGCAAAACATGTAGGCTTCGGAAGTCATTATATGGTCTCAAATAGTCTCCAAGGGCTTGGTTTGAGAGATTCACTCAAGCTATGCTTAAATATGACTTCCAACAGAGTCAGACAGATCACACCTTGTTTGTGAAACATTTATTCTCACGTGGTAAGACTACAACACTTATTATTTATGTAGATGACATAGTTCTTACGGGCGATGATAGTGAGGAAATAACTTTGTTAAAAAAATATTTAGTCAGTGAATTTGAAATCAAAGACTTGGGAAGCTTAAAGTATTTTCTGAAAATTGCTCGCTCCAAGGATGAGATATTCGTCTCACAGAGAAAGTATGTGCTTAACTTGTTGAAGGAAACTGGGAGGCTTGGCTGCAAGGCCTGTGACACTCCACTGGAACCCAAACAGAAATTGGAGGATGATGAAGGAGAGGAAGTTGTTGATAGAGGGAGCTATCAACGATTAGTGGGTAAGCTCATTTGCCTATCTTACTCTCGTTCTGATATTGCTGTTGCTGGCAGTGTGGTTAGCCAGTTTATGCATTCTCCTCATCAGATTCACTTCGAGACTATCATGAGAATTTTGAGGTACTTAAAGTCTGCTCTTGGTAAAGGTCTTTATTTTTCAAAAGATGATCATCTTCGTTTGGAAGCCTATACAGATGCTTCTTTATTTTTCAAAGTATGATCATCTTCGTTTGGAAACCTATACAGATGCTGACTGGGCTGGATTAGTAACTGATAGGAAATCGACTTCAGGGTATTGTACCTTTGTGGGAGGCAACCTAGTTACTTGGAGGAGTAAGAAACAGAATGTGGTTGCCAGGTTAAGTGCAGAAGCTGAGTTTAGAGTTATGGCACATGAGGTGTGTGAGCTCTTATGGATCAAGTTATTGTTAAGTGATCTAGCTATTGATCAGATGGACTCCATGCAGTTATACTGTAATAATAAGGCCGCTATCAATATCGTTCACAATCCGGTTCAACATGATAGAACAAAGCATGTTGAGATTGATCGCCACTTTATTAAGGAGAAACTCACTAGTGGCACCATATGTACTCCCTTTGTGCAGTCTGGAGAACAACTTGCTGACATCCTCAGCAAGGGAGTTGGGAGTAAGCCATGTCATGACATCTTAGGCAAGCTAGGTATGAGAGATATTTTCGCACCAGCTTAAGGGGGAGTGTTAGCATTATATATTATTATTTGGGTTATTATTTTATAATTATTCTATGCCTTAGGGCTCCCTTGTAATTATTAATCTTCATTAATATAAATAGGGGATGATATCCTAATCATCTCTTTATCTTGAAATTCCCTAAAAATAACATGACTAACTATACTATCTCTATTTTATAACCTAAAATCAAGAGAAGGTGTCCAACACTTCTCGACACTTGCAAAGATGGGTATGTAAAGAGTGAAATGCATCAAGAAAATTACCAAGAGGAATGACATCATAGGGGTTGTCTCCTTGTGGTAAGAAACCATAGAAGGTGACTAGATGAGAACTTGAGAACTTCCCATAGCTAAGGTAGCATTGTTCTCCTGCATTACATGGTCTCGATAGAGGGAACTTTAAGGAATTTGTAGCAGAATCTACTTTACCGAAGTGCAACACATGCGGGCAAACCTGTAAAGAGAACAAACAAAAAAATAAGCAAAAACTTCACAAAGAGATCACAAAGAAGGTAAAAAGTCTGAATAATTGTTATTCATTAAAGAAACAAAATGTAATATACATATAATCAACCATTCAGAGGCCCAAACTTGTCAGATACAATTAACCCAAAGGAGCAGTAAAACTGCAAAGAATCCAAACCCCCCCCAAAAAAAAAACATATTGAGTGGATGCTTATGGTAATGATCAAGTGTATTCTTATAATGAATGGAGGCACTGTAGTCAGGGACAACTAAAAGGGTTAGTCCAGTCCAGATGTCTGTGTTCATTTACAGGTATACTAATGATAATAGACCTTCTGGTTCACTACACCACTTCAAGTACCTAAAGTACTCTTTAAAATTCACCAGCTTTAATAAGCACTACTTTTGAGAACCCTATACACCTTAACGAGCATAAGTTAAATTGAGTGCCAGAAAAGAAAAGAAAAGAAATAAACAGAGATGTCAAAAACGGGTGACATACAGAGTGATTAAGAAAGCCTGCAATAGGTACCAAGCATGTCTGTAGCTTTCCACCAGTAAACATTACTTTCATGCCATTAGAGTACCAGAGCTCACAAGCCCATAAGAACTGCTCCCATGTGTAGAGCTCTACTGGAAATATATCAGGATGATCATTGCATAGTGCAGGAAATAACTCATCATACTGGGTGCGCAAATGCTGCAACAAAATAAAAATAAAATAAAAGATTTTCTTAAACCCCTTCAAGCAATAATGCCTACATAAATCTTTTAAGGAAGTTAACATAAAATAAAATATTACAATGTAGAAAGAGTTCAATGCCAAACAATTCTTACCAATTTGAGGTTAAAAAATTAAAAAAATAAAAGACTTTTCCTCTCTCATATCTCTCTAATATTAAAGAAAAACTTACTATCATAAAATGTTGTGCTCTATAAAGTATGAGTACGGGTACGAGTAGGAGTAGGAGTATGAGTACTGGTATTGGTACGATATGAGTATGTCAATACGGTGAAATCCAGAACTATGTTACCATAAATGCTAATACCCTATTAAATTACGTATTGGTATGCACATTCTGAAACATGGTAAACTTCCGTTCCAAACCGGTAAATTTAGTAATCCAAAGCGATCTCAAAAGTTTTTCTTAATATATGTACTTAAATGTTACCTTAGTAGGAAAAAAATCAAATATAATGAACTAAAATTTAAGGTGAGTTAAGTTTTGACAAGACAAAAAAAATCAAAAAATGGGTTGTAATGCTCATAGAAAATATTATATTTTATTGGATATCTAATAGTTAAAAAAAATTACTCTAGAAGTACCTTAAATTCTTAAGTATAATATATACAAGTCTACTACTATCGCATCACATTTTAGAGTATGTACCATATCACGTTCTCATTCCCGTTCCACATTACAGGTAACATAGATCCAAAAAAAGTAAAGTACGAGTACGACTTGGTACATTTATAAAAAAATATTTATTTTTAATTTGGAGTAATGCAAAAATTTATTAAATGGTTTAATTTATTAAGATCCAACCTACAATTAACATTTAGTGTCAAAAGTAAACGTATAAACCAAAATTAAAAGTCATTATATTAAATAACTTACAAATTGCAACATAATTTTAAAATCCTGCTAAGCATAAAACTAAAAATAAAATAGAAATCTAGTGAAAGGAATTTTATCTTAAGTAGAAGAAAATATTATTTTGACTGAAGTACGGTATGGCTATATTAGGTATGTCTAGGTACGATAAAAATTAAGAAGAAAAAATTTAGGTATGTGTTTCGTGTATCCGGTACGTATGTAGAAATATCATATGCCAGTAAGTACCCGGTAATGGTATGGCATGTTTGTCGAAGTACTCATGCTTCGCAGGTTGTGCTATACCTGAGAAACCATTCAAATAACAACAAAAGTGCACTCATACCTTGTTAAAAACCAATACTGGAAGTAACTTCCTCAACATAAAAGACGCCAAGCCCTATGTCCTAATCAATTGGGATCAGTTACGTGAATTCTTTCTCCTTGCTCTATCTAGGGCTATATGCTTAATTAAATTAAATAAATTCATATCATTTTTAATTACCATACCCCATGCTAGTTTAGTTTTTCCCTCGTCCCCCAGAACATTTCCATTTAAAATGATCGTATCACTCTTCCTAACCGTTGTACCTATAAGTCGACGTTGTACATGACAAAACTATCTTAGCTTGTTCTCTCTTAACTTATTTTCAATTGATTCTACTCTTGCCATTTCAAGAATATATTCATTTTTAATTTTATTTGTCCTAGTTTTACCACGCATCCATCTAAACATTCACATATCAGCTATGCCCATTTTATGAATTGTTTCTTAATTGCATAACATATTGCCCCCGTAAAACATCATTGGTCTTATAGCTATTCTATAAAAAATTTACTTTCAATTTTATTGGTATTTTTCGATCACATAATACATCAGACATGCTCTTCCACTTCAGTCAACCTAGTTTTATTCTATGGATCACAAAGATGGGCTGTCTAGATTTCAATCATCTCATATAATGCAAGGAATCCAACAAAGAATCAACCAGTCACAAATATACTCATAAAACAAGATGGATGATTCCATTATCCGCCGAAAGAAATGGATACTAAATGTAAAAAATGTTGAATTTTTATGAACGGTCATTTAAAAGGCTTCATAACCTCTTTTGCTTGCACAATTTCTTCTAGCAACAAGGTTCCATCTAAAGCCATGATAGCATTAACTCCAAAGCTCAACCCTGTGGCATGTAAACAATCAAAATTAATCAGACCTAGAAAAAGGTGTTAACAGGCTCAAAATAAAACCACATCCAAAATTGTATATATTAAAATTCTACATCTTTTTATCCTTAGTCACATCACATGCACATTTTTATTTAACAAAAAAGAAAAAAAAAAGAAAAGAGCTTGCCCATATCTCTCTTCAATTCCACTGATTGTCCCTACCCAAATTTGATATATGATTCAAAAGGTGACATCACCATCACCATCAGCATCACCGTCACCGTCACCGTCATCGTCACTGTCACCAATTCCTAAACAAATAGAAAATAAAAGCTCGCTTCTCTCTTCATAAGAAGCTTGCTCCTCTCTCTCTTTCATGACAAACTGCTAATACATCTAAAAATCCATTCAACATCTACATGCCATCAATAATAGATGGAAGTTTAAAAAGTAAAAAATGGAATATTGAATAACTAACATTCAGTGATCAGAGGATTTACTAGGATCTAATGGGATCTAATAAGACCCAACATGTTTTTAACCCCTTTTTCTCTTTCTTTCTTTTTTCTTTTTTTTTTTTTTTTCTCTTGAGAAAAAATTGGCATACATATGTTTAAGGCTAAAATAACTTGCACCCAAAAAATATCTATTACTATTTCGGTTAAATAAACATGATTTAATATGATATGGGTCAAGTCATGGATACACAACATTTTTTTAGAAAACTTTTTCTAAACAATATGCGTACGCACATTTTTAAGTGTTTTATGTTTAAAATAAAAGTTCTCACTCACTCTTTCTTTTAATTATACTCTATTTAGGGTTTCTAGGCTAATTTTTTAAGGTCAAGAGAGATTATATTATGGTTTTAAAGAATTTTATGGTTGGTAAGATTTGGACCCACATATCTTGTTATGAAGGCAATACATTCCTAATCAGACAACGTAATTGTATAACAGGTTCCAAAACAGTAGCAGCCACTAAATATATGGCACCCTTTTGAATGCTTCCAACATTTCCCAACAGCGTATCTTTGTAGTCCGTCCAAACATCAACACACATTTGAGTGAATTGCCCGTAATTCTCGGGATACTCTTCTAAGGAGTACAACATTGTATACCAAATAAATCGACAAAAATGGCAGAAAGAAAAGGAGGGACGAAACAAGGTACCAGAAACTTGAGGGTACCCTAAAAGATAAATCTCACAAAAAGTTACTTTTTTACACTAGGAGTAATTTTAAGATGTAGCTCATTAAAATCATGACAAAAAAATATACAGGGAAGTCATTATTGCCCCATTGAGATTTACAAAAGTAAGTAGTGCCATACAACTTACAAGTCAATATGATATTTTTGAACAATGGACCCAAGTTTGGTGGCCATTCGAAATGCCATTTCTTATTATGCGTTAACAATAAATATGTAAATTCAACTTAATGTCTCTCCCTTTTAAACTAACGATAATACCCCAACTCAAAAGAAGTGTATTAATCACTTGAAAACCCAACATAACCTTAAACCAACTAAACCATATTTTCAATAACCATAAGGGATGATAGATCATTTTTTCCTAAAGAGAAGTCTAGGCCCCTTGGAGCACCTGGCTAATCCCTGGGCAAATGAGGTTCCCCCAATCCCACATGCAACACATAATTACCAATAAATCCCTCTTGTTAGCCCCAAGAGAGATGATGAAATATTATAATTAGCATACCAAGAAAGATAACACACTAATCATGCAAAAAATGTTTAGAAGGAAGCCTAGCGTCAATTCATCACATAGAAGCAAAAGTAAGTTCTAATCCTTATTTAGAAGGAATAAAGAGAAAAGGCAATCTTATATCACTTGGTTGCTAAAACTAATGCCATATACAAATTTGAAATACATAGTACATACAATTAAGTGCATCAGAAAAACACACACCTGTGTTAAATACTTCTGGCAATGCATCAAAGTAGAATTTAAATTTGGAATGATGATTGTGCTTCTCCTTCATGCTCCACAATAGCAATATTGTCTCAGAAGATACACCGTCAATCTTTTCCAAGATAGGGAACTACAATCAAGGAAACCTATAATTTAACCTAGGCTAATACTTGATACTTCAACTCTTAAGCTAAAAACCATATTAAAATTTGAACTTTTATATGGCATTGAATAAAACGTGATTTGATGTAGTTAAAAATCTAAGAAGAGCCAACATTCATGGATACTACCAAAAAAACAAATATCTTAATCAACCATAACATGCAACTCAAGAAGTCAAAATTCAAATCTATACCAGTACATGTGTCTTAATATAGAAAATGGATGTAGACTATCTTAGCTTTATCAAGACCATGATTTTTCAAGAAAATTTATTTTCCTCGTAGTCAAATAGGGATCGCATAACAAAAATCTTTTACGTGTTATCCTGTTCTATGTTATAAAGGTTGCCATGTCAAACACTTACAACAATGTCAAGCACGATGCATTATTCCATGTCATTGATATGAAAGGTAAAGGATCTTTAATGGGGAAGCTAAACTATTTTTCATTTCACAAAAATCAACTTATCAACCCTTCTTAGTAGTTGCACTGATCCAGTAAGTTTCACAAACTTTGGCAGCATTTGGAAGCAGAAGTTTATCCTCCTAACATGGAAGTATGATAAACTCCAGTAACCTCACCATTTACCATTTTTAGTTATGTTACATTGAGTCAGGTATGGGTGTTAGGTGTGGCTGTGCCGGTATGTGTGTAAGTAACAGATTCATCTAATTCTTATGTTCATGGACAAAGGAACAATTAGATTTCATATTACTTAAAATACTTTTTTTTATTTTGGAGCTAATCATACTAGTGTAGGAAGCGATTAACCATACCATGTCAGATTCATGTACAAGCTCCTCAGAAATTATGATAGACACAGGGATCTCCAAAGCTATGTCCCCAACTTTCAGATCTTCTTTTGCTACAACTCCTCTTCCAGCTCCCTCAACATCTACACAACGTATGATGCAATGGATTAAATATATATATATATATTTGAAGTAATGTTGAACATTAGTTTTCTCCCATTCTATGAAACTTGGGTATTAGAGCAAGAGTGTAAATTTTACAAACAATGTTTGTTCAAGATACTTGGTAAGGACAACTAATAGTATGACAAAGACTTACAAGCTACCTCCAATTTTGTTTGAACACCACTGCTCTCACCCCACTGTAATAAATGCCTCTCCTTGTCACAGCTATAGTTTGTAACAATTCTAGTCTCCAGTCTAATCTTGTCCCCAAGATCTTGAATCATATCAATACTCGCATTCCGTAAATCTTGAAGAAGACCTGTTATTTTATGATTACCACTAGAGAGAGTTTTATCAATGAGTGACAGGATTGAATGCAAAGCCTCCAGCTCAATTCTGGGATTGTCAAATTCCACAGAAGAATTTACATCAACTCCACCAAAGTAAAGTTCTAGCTGCGCCACAAAAAAATGAAATCTCTTTTCATCATTAACAACTCATATAGAGAAATTTATCGATGTTGACTATAAGACTGCTCAAGCACAACTTAGTTCTGTATCAGAACTGGTCAGGAAGAAACTAAAACCAGTTTTTCAGACCTGAAGTATGATTCTTTTGACAATGGCCAAAATGTTGAGCGTTCAGGCTACCAAAGAGGTAAATATCAACCAATAGCAGAATTCTGCAGTTTAGACCCCATAGTTTAGACAGAAGCAGTTTACCTCATCCAAGCATATGATTCTTGCTCTTTGAACCAGCATTTTCATGGTTGTATTTAACCAATTAGGACAAGAGGAGTTCTTCAAGGATACATGTCCTTGGAGATTGAAACCATTAACTTCTAGTAATTTCTGTTAAACGAGATAAATAAAAAATAAAAAAATGCAACAAACAACATCAGCAGATTAAATTTCTAGAAAGAAAGCTGTCAATATTGTTAAGATTTTCGAAAAGAAGTTTGTACAATCAGAATACCCGTATAAATTGGGATGGGGTGGAGGTGATTAAACAGATCTTTATGACTTATTCACCCAAAAAAAAAAAAAAAAAAAAGATTAAATAGATCTCAGTGCTTGTAGAACTCCTTACCTTCTTTTTCTCAAAAAGAGGGTCATCTTCAGAGAGCTCAAGAACTAATAAATATTCATCATTCTCAGCTGATTTATTAGATAAATGCAACTGCAACAATTAGACATGTCATTAATATTAAGGTTCTCATAGCTCTAACTTCTTCACAAACAAGTCAAACTAGTCTAGAAATTAAAAAATAAAAAAAAGAATTGAACTTAGCCATATACACTACAGTATCACATAGTTAAATAAAGTTTCTTCAACACATGAGCACGACAATAACTTTATACATACCAGTTTTTGTATAAAGTTCTTATTGTGCTCATGTGTGCTGAAGAAACTTTATTCAACTATGCGACCCTCTTTGGTATATACTTCATTCATTTGGTGTAATGACTAAATCAATCAACATTACAGATCATGATAATAAAAATGTCAAAATAGCACAAAGGAATAGAGGTCCACCAATTTGCAGAAATTGCCCAAAAAAGAACAAGGATGACAAAGCTAACACAGAGATACATATAATATCCCTCTTTTTTCATTTCAAAATTTTCTTTTTTGCATTCTTTTTGCATTTAAATGCGAAACACCCATTAAGAGATGAAGATGAAATGCTCTATTTCTGTATTAACAACATAGTAAAAGAAAACACAAACTTGCATAAAACTACCCACACTATACGCACGAAAACAAAATTGCATAAATTGGAGCTATGTCACATCATTTGTTTCTGTATTAACAACATAGTAAAAGAAAGCACAAACTTGCATAAAATTACACACACCACACACACAGAAACAAAATTGCATAAATTGGTACTATTTCACATCATTTGTTCGTTTCTGTATTAATAACATAGTAAACAAAAGCACAAAAATTGCATAAATTGGAGCCATTTCATAGCATCTATTTCTGTATTAACAACATAGTAAAAGAAAAGCACAAACTCGCATAAAATTACACACACAACACACACAAAAAGAAAATTTCATAAATTGGAGCTATTTCACACCAATTGTACAAAATTACAGAATTCTAAAGAACATAATCAATAGCATAAAAGCAGTTTTGGGTCCATTGACAATGTGAAAATGGCATCATAAGCCGCTAATCAGAACAATTCCACATACCCATCATCAAACAAGAAGGAAAACAACCAACAACAACTTCTAACATCTCTCACTCCTGTGATTTCAAATTTAAGCACCATAGATACATATAAACATTGCCAAAAAAAGAAGTGACTTGAACAAAGGAAAAAGAAGAAAGAGAAGTGCAAATAGTAGTAGAATAAGATTAAGAAGTGTGAGACTAGGTTCACCTCGTCATCCTCCATTGAAGAGAAAGCTCAGAGAGAGAGAGAGGGAGGGGTTTAAGTGGCAAGTGAGGGTGGTGGAGGTGAAATGCTTCAGAGCAAAGAGTATACTCTAGTGGGCCTGCCCTACACATATCGGCCCATAACATAATTTCCCAAGTCTGACCCAAAAACTTTTAATTTTCTGAAATTTAGATAAAATCTAACAATCTTACAATTTTTTATATAATTATACTAACTTTTTTTTAGAAAGGTTAAAACCAAAACTAATGCAAATGATATGAAAAAAAAATGATACACAACGTAAAAGAGATGAACAATAAAATTTTGATAAAAAATAATAAAATTTTAATAGAAAAAATAAAAATAAAAATTGTTCAAGCCCAGGCTTAGGCCCACCCAAGTCCCTAATACCTCCTGGGCCTAACTTGTTGGCACGTGGGTTGGGCCGGGCCGTCTGGCCCCAGGCCAAATTTACACTTCTAGTTTAGACCATATATGACATATATAAATAAGGATATTTTAGTTATTTTGTTTGATTTTGTCCTTTTGGCAAAAGGTTTTCAGTGCCTGGACTTTTGGGCAAATAAAATTAAAATTGGGATTTTTGGACTGTGTACCTTAAATTAAAACATTAAGAGAGACTAGTATAATTATGTCATACCTATGGGGTTTATTGTTTTTTCTTCAAACCTCAAATGAGGTCATTGTAATTTATTCAAATATAAATTAGTTTGACAAAAATAAAAATCAAAAATGATATTTTTGAAATTTTAAAAATCATTTATACCTTCCTAAAAAATAAAACTATATAAAAATAATAAGTATTTTTCAATAATTTTTTTTTTTATCAAATGGACTTTTAATTTTATAGATTAAATTTTTAAAAACCAAACCAAATAATCTCGCCTACATTAGTGGGTAATGTAGATTGAGAACTTCTCCTTTAATGAGTCTAATGATTTTATATTAATTTAAAGGGCAAATTACACTTACCACCTTTGAAGTTCAAAAAAGATACATTTAATCTTATACTTGATTGAGACAGAATTATATAGCATTGAGGTTGGTAATTAGGATCTCTTAATCTTACTTGCCAGTCAAATTGTATATTTTATGTCTGTTTAATGACAATCAGGTTGGATGTAGTTGGAGCACAAAATGAGCAAAAATACAGCATTTTATCCAGAAAAGTACTTACCGCACGTGTCGAGGACCATTCCCACACGTGCAGCCCAACCAATGAAGCCAAACAAATACCGCAAAAATTGCATGTGCGAAGGGTTTTTTCTGCATGTGTGAAACCCTCTCTGTACGTGTGGTCGTACCTTGAAAAATGTACCCGATGTTTTAAACCTGTTTTGGAAAAGCTGGAGATATAAAAGGCAAAAGAAAAGACTGGATTAGGGTTCTAAAATTTTCCAAAGGATAAGAGGGGCTAAGGTTTGAATAAAGGGGTTTCAAGCTTCAGGAATATCTCTCATGGTGGTTTTCTCTTCCTCTACCTCTTTCCACTCCTCCATAAGTGGCTAGTTATTTTATTCCTAGGGTTTTGATGAAACCCCACCCAAGTAAATATGGTTTTCTTTTTTATTTTTGATTATATAATGGTTTGAACAAGTTGTATGGTATTCAAGAAATTTTTAAATATATTTTTCATTATTTCTTCAAGTATTCTTCTTTCTGTGATTGTTAAATGTTCTCCGTGCAATGGTTTTCTATTCTTCCATATTCAAGGTATGAGACGAGCGATACTATGAGAGACGAGTCATTTTGCTACCCTAGTTTAGAGCGAACGACTCGTGCTACTTAGGATGGTTCATGCCTACACATTGAACGTGATAATTCTCTTGATCAATACTTCGAACTTGTAGTTGCGAAGTATTATTTGGTTTAAACCGTACATAATTGAATTTCAAGTTGAGACATTATTTATGTAACTAGTAGTGAATTCATCACTCTAGGTTTTTTCCAAATATAAGTAATCCCAATTTCACTTTTAATTGCTCGGTTAAATTCTTAGTTTATTTTATTTATTATTAGTTTATAAATCATCATCTTTTTAATCAAAATTAAATTAGGAATTTAACAATTAAATTAGTTGAATTTCATATTTGTCCTTGTGGATCGATACCTAAACTTATCATTGTTCTAAGGAATCTGGTACAGTTTAGTGTTTATTTCTGATGTGCAAAATGACCTATCAAATTTTGGCACCGTTGCTGGAGACTTCTGTTGAAATTAATTAATTTAAAGTTATATTCTTATTTTAATTTTTAATTAGGACTTTATGTTTTTGTGTTGCTAGGTGTGCAGAGTTTTTGTAAGCAAAGCTATCACCGAAATGCAAGCGAAGCACAACCGAGCTTTAAAAACAACCGCAACACTAAAGGGCTTTTTTAAAATAATAATAATAAATAAAATAAAAAAGAAGAAGAAGAAGCAAATGCTCGCAAGCAAAGCACCAAAGTACTAAAAATAGAGAGCTCAAGTGGAGATTGGAGACAATGGTCTACATGTCAAGCACCCGCAAGATGAGTAAAGCATTTTCATTAAACCGCTGAGTATTTTTTCCTTTGGTATTTTGCTTTCATAACTTAGTGCACAATAGTCGGAACTTAGTGTATGTGTGTGAGTGGTATATGCACAGGTGTTGTTCTTGTCGCCCTGAATTATGGAGTTTGAACCTTAAATTAGAAAGGACTCTTAGGAACCTTAGAGCCTCTTTCCATGTTCCTAGGCTTAAATATCCATATCCATACTCAGAGCCATTAGAGATGGCAAACCCAAATTTCCCGAATGGGCCGAACCGGACCCTTAAAGATTACTTCAAACCCACTGCATATACATTACCATCATGTATTCAGTTACCCGACACCACCGCTACTCATTATGAGATTAAGTCCAGCAGCATCCAAATGCTCCTATCATTCTATGGACTAGCTCATGATGACCCTTACAAACATCTGCATGAATTTTTGGAAATTTGTTCTACAGTGAAGATCCAGGATTTCACCAATGATGCCTTAATGTTGCGACTGTTTCCATTTTCACTGAAGAACAAAGCCAAACACTAGTTGAACTCCTTACCTACTAATTCTGTCACAACATTGGACCAATTAAAGCAGAAGTTTTTGGAGAAGTACTTTCCCATTGGTAAGACCAACCAACTCAGGCTAGCCATCACCAATTTTGCTCAAATTAATAGTGACCAATTTCATAAAACATGGGAAAGACTTCGTGACCTTCTCCAACAATGTCCTTACCACTAAATGTCTGATTGGTAACTTGTTTAGACCTTTTACTATGGTTTAACTGAGCTTCACCACCAAATGGTGAATTCTTCTTGTGGTGGGACATTTATGTCGAAAAATGACGCTGAGGCATGGCAATTATTTAAGAACCTAAGTGATAATTCCCTTCACTATGCCTCTGCAGCCCGACAAGTCCGGCAACCTATAATTGAAGCCTCAAAAAGAGGGGGCATTTATGAGGTATGGCACAATCTAGAGTTAACCCAACAAGTAGAGGCATTGTCCCATAAAATGGACCAATTATTAGCTTCAGGACATATCCTTACACAGCAAGTTCAGCCTCAATTTCACGAGGCATGTGTTATTTGTGCGAGCCCTGCTCATGACTTGAGTGAGTGCCCTTCGGCATCACAATTTCCAAAGTTAGTCCAAGAGCAAGTGAATGCGGCTCAAGGATTTTCCAAACCGAGTAATGACCCATTCCAACACATATAATCCGGGATGGAGAAATCATCCTAATTTTTCATAAAGACCTCATTCACAAGGCACTTCTTACAACCCTCCACCACCAAGGCAGAATTTTAATAATTTTGCCAACCAATCTTTCTACCACCCACTACAACCTTACCAGCAACCACAACCCCCGTCTATTCCTCAAGGTAGCTTAGCCTTTGAGACTCAGGTGTTAGAAGTTCTTTCAGAGATTAAGGGGTTAGCACTAGTAGTTCACTCCCACACTTACTTTATTGCCAAGCTAGAGGCCCAATTAGGTCAAATGGCTAATAACATGAATAGAAGAGATGAGGAAAAATTACCGAGTCAGACTGTGGCCAACCCTAAGGGTCAATATGGGGCAGAGGGGTCGAGTGGAAATGGAAAGCACCATGAACAGGTGTAAGCAATGATTACTTTGAGAAGTGGAAAGGAATTAGAGCCTTGACCGGTTACGTCTGATGTAACTAGGGCTAAGAAGGGTGACCGCGATGGTAAACCCAATGAGAGCAAGAGTGAGGGAGAAACAGTTAAGGGGGATGACTTAGTCCCTAGTACTTCACATGAGTCTAAGGCACCATAAGTGCCTAAGGCACCCTATCCCCAATGCCTTGATACACCATTGCCTTTTAATAAGAATGTGGCATCCATGGAAGCAATGATAGAGGTCTTTAAATAAGTTAAAATCAACCTCTCCTTGTTGAAGACGATTAAACAAGTACCCTCCTATGCAAAAATTTTGAAGGACCTATGTACGCAAAAACGTAAATCTAGGACACACATGTTCCAAAAGGTTGCACTCACGAAGCAAGTAAGCTCCATTTTATTGGGTAACACAACCCCCAAGCTTAAAGACATGGGTGCCTCAACCATTGCATACATTATAGGGGATTATTTCATTGATAGGGCCCTGTTAGATTTTGGAGCTAGTGTCAATTTGTTGCCATACTCTGTGTACGAGGAATTCGGGCTTGGCAAGTTGAAGCCCATTACTGTCACACTCCAGTTGGCTGACTGTTCCCTCAAAGTGCCACGTGGCATGATTGAGAATGCCCTAGTAAAGGTCGATAGGTTTTATTTTCTTGTTGATTTTGTGGTTTTAGTTATGGAACCGATAGCCAGCTCTAGGAAACAAATCCCGATGATCTTAGCTCGACCTTTCTTGGCTATGGCTAATGCATGTATTAATTGTCATGCCGGGGTTGTGGATGTTCCATTTGGGAATATGCAAGTGAAACTTAATGTTTTCCAAGCATCCCAACTACCCCATGAAAAAGAGGAGTGCTTATTTGTGGATATTGTAGGCGGGATAGTAAATGAGGCTTTACCCTCCATTCTTATAAAGGACCCTTTAGAGGCTTGTTTAGCTCATTTTGGATTTGACGATTTTGATATTGACAGGTCAGTTGAGGAAGTGAATGCTTTACATAATTCTTCTTCTACACCAGATTTTCCTCCGTGGAAAGTCCGGTTTGAATCCCTTCCTCCTCTGTCTAGAGAGTCTGCCATACCATCCTTAATCACACCACATACACTTGAGTTGAAGCCATTCCTAACCATACTCAAGTATGCATTTTTAAGGCATCAGGATACTTTACCAGTCATCATTGCATCTAACTTAACTGCATAGTAGGAGAGTTAATTAATGAGCATTTTCGTGGCACATTGGAGTACTATAGGATGGTCAGTGGCCGACTTGAGAGGGATAGATCCCTCCGTGTGCATGCATCATATACATTTAGAGGAGGATGCCACACATTTTTGTGAAATGCAATGGAGGCTTAATCCTAACATGAAAAAGGTAGTGAAAAAAAGAGGTGTTGAAGTTGTTGGACGCGAGTATTATATACCCCGTCTCGGATAGCAAGTGGGTGAGTCCCACACAAGTGGTGCCCAAGAAATCGGGCATCACTGTTGTTAAGAATGAGTAAGGCGAGTTAGTCCCTACAAGAACCACCACCGGGTGGCAAGTGTGCATTGATTATAAGAGACTTAATTCCATTACTAGAAATGACCATTTTTCATTGCCATTTATTGATCAAATCCTTAAGAGGTTAGCTGGATGATTTTTTTATTGTTTCCTTGATGGTTACTTGGGGTATAATCAAGTTCTAATGTACCCCGCCGACTAAGAAAAGACCACACTCACTTGCCCTTTTGGCACTTTTACTTATATGTGCATACCCTCTGGGCTATGCAATGCATCGGTGACTTTTCAACGGTGTATGATGGTCATTTTCTCTGATATGGTGAAGAAATTTTTAGAGATTTTCATAGATGATTTATCAGTGTTTGGGCCATCTTTTGAGGAATGCCTTAGAAATTTGACTAGAGTGTTAAAGCGATGTACTGAGTCAAACTTAATCTTGAGTTGGGAGAAGAGCCATTTTATGGTTCATGAGGGTATAGTGTTGGGACACATTATGTTTCCTCGAGGTTTAGAGGTAGACAAAGCTAAGGTTGACCTCATTGCAAGCCTTCCTCCACTCACTTCTGTGCCTCAAGTCCGTTCTTTCCTAGGGCATGCGGTTTTTCTCATCGGTTCATCAAAGACTTTAACAAAATATCCCATCCTTTGTGTAGTTTACTCTCTAATGACACACTTTTTATCTTTGATGATACATGTATGAAAGCTTTCGAAACGCTTCGAGCGGCCCTTACTTCCGCTCCAATCATGAAATCACCGAATTAATTGCTTTCTTTTAAAATCATGTATGATGCCTCAGACTACGCTGTTGGAGCAATTTTGGGCCAAAGGGTAAATAGAGCACCCTATGCTATTTATTATGCTAGTCGCACTTTCTTGGATGTGTAATTAAACTACACTACCACCGAGAAAGAGTTGTTAGCCGTGGTGCTTATCTTAGATAAATTTCGATTCTATCTCCTTGGTTCCAAGGTCATTGTCTTCACTGATCACGCCACTTTGTGGTACCTATTATCAAAGAAAGAGACCAAACCTAGGTTGATTAGATGAATTTTATTGCTTCAAGAATTTGACCTAGAGATCCGAGACAAGAAGGGATCTGAGAATGTGGTGGTAGATCACCTCTCCCGAGTCCTTGCTGAGCACACCAGTGACCCTTTAACTTTGCATGATTCGTTCCCGGACGAATAACTTCTTGTGGTGTCACGAGTGAATCCCCGGTGATTTGCTCAAATTGTGAATTACTTGGTCATTGGGCAAATTCCTAAAAATTAGTCTAAGCAAGACAAAGACCGATTCTTTTCACAAGTCAAGTATTATTTTTGGGAGGATCCGAAATTGTTTAACTATTGTCCCGATCAAGTGATCCGACGGTGTGTGCCGAAGAGTAAGGTGCATAGCATTCATACATTTTGTCATTCTTCGGCATATGGCCGTCATTTTAGTGGGTATAAAACAGCCGCCAAGGTTTTGAAAAATGGGTTTTATCGGCCCACCATTTTTAAAGATGCCCATCAATTGTGTAGGACTTGTTTGCGCTGTTAGCAAGGTTCAATGTCTCGTTGTGATATGATGCCAATGTCCCCTATTCTAGTGGTAAAGATTTTTGATGTTTGGGGTATTGATTTCATGGGCTCTTTCCCATTATCACTTGGGGATTGAGTACATTCTTTTGGTAGTAGATTATGTTTGTAAATGGGTAGAGGCCATAGCTACTCAAACAAACGACCATAAAGTAGTGATAAAGTTTTTGCATGAAAACATCTTTAGTCGATTTGGGTTTCCTAAGGCCATAATAAGTGATCAGGGTACATAATTTTGGAATCAGTTCTTTGAGTCGATAGTCAAAAAATACTCCATCACTCATAAAGTTGGCACTCTATACCACCCTTAAACTAGTGGCCAAGTAGAGGTATCCAATAGGGAGGTGAAGCACATTATAGAGAAAACGATTAGGCCGGATAGAAAAGATTGGTCAAAACATTTGATTGATGCTTTATGGGCCTACCGCACTGCTCATAAGACACCCATTGGGATGTCACCATATAGGGTGGTGTTTGCAAAACTTGTCACCTCTCAGTTGAACTTAAGTACTAAGCGTTGTGGGCTATAAAGAAGTTTAACTTTGATATGGCTGCAGTTAGACTTAACTGGAAATTGCAACTCAATGAGTTGGAGGAGATTAGGAATGACGCTTATGAGAGTTTGAAAATTTTTAAGGTTCGGACTAAGGAATTTCATGATAAGCACATCAATTGAAAATCATTTAAGCCTAGTCAAAAAGTTTGGCTCTTTAATTCAAAATTGAGACTCTTTTTGGGTAAGCTTAGATCAAGATGGGATGGCCCTTTGTGGTCATCGAGGCATTTATTTATGGCGCCGTTGAGGTGCAAGATCCACAGAATGGCCACACCTTCAAAGTAAATGGCCAAAGATTGAAACCTTGTATAGAGGGGATTAGGAATGGGGATATGATTGAGTCCATTGCTTTGATGGACCCATTTTATTCTAATTGAAACTTGGAATTCTTATTTTCTTTCATTTCCTTTCCATTCTAAATTTTATGTTTTTTATTTTTTACTTTTGCTATGCTACACTTGATGTCTAGGAGACTTTAAATCCTTTAAAGGTGTAATTCATTTGGTGTTAGCCGTGCCCGAACGACATTTGACGATCTGGTATAGCCACCTAACTGTGTTTTAGTGAGTTTTTAAGAGATCAACTGAGATAGTGGAAACTAGAGTTCAAATAAGAAAGCTTAGAATGCAAAGGTTTGAAATTTCTGAGACTAATGTCTAGTTTAAATACCTAGAGGTGTGAAGATTGCTTCAAAACCATCTTGACTTGAACTCTATATAGTAGTCCCATAGGTTGAGTTAGCTTTAGACGCCTCGATTCCAGATACCGAATCAACCAAATCTGTCACCCTGTTAGAGAATAGGGAAAGTTACAAACACTGTTAGGGAGAAAAGTAGTACTTGTAGTTTTCGCGTAAAGATTATACTTTTGTTGAGCATTTAGATGTTTTCGAAGTGCTATACTTATTTTAGATGTGTAATGAATGTAGAAATGGTTTGAAATGTTTTTGGGTTGTACTTGGGTTTTAAAAAAAAATAAAAAAATTTCCCGCATGTGCGACACAACCAACCGCATGTGTGGCACAAATTCAAATCCCTATGTTCGCTACTACTTTTATTGCAGGTATGAAGAAAGGTGCGGCACAGCAGTAGCATGTGTAGCCTAGGTCCTGCATGTACAGAATAATTTGCTGAAACAATGTTGGGTCCTGTTTTATATGCAGGTGCGAGGGGTGGTGCAGCGTGTCTCGCACGTACAACACGTCAGAATTTAAAAATAATAATAATTTCTTTATTGCAAATTTTTTTTTTTGTTTTTAATGTATTTTATTTACTTCCCCTCTTTGACCATCATTTTCTCTGTACTTTCTCTCTCTACCTCTCATCATCTCTCTCACTCTCTCTCTAAACTTCACCAACCTATCAAACCCCACCATCACCAGCCCTTACCTCAAACTTTACCACCGGTGCACCATCTTCCCTCTGACTGGCAACCCTTCAGCGGCCATTTTTTCTTGCAAATCTCCAATCTTCTCTTCTTCATCCTTTTTTCTTCATACTTTTTCAAGGTAACTACTTTCTTTTTGTTTAGATTTTTCAATCCTCACTTGTAATATAGTTCATTGGTAGTGTAATAGTAGTTTTGTTCATTGTTCATCATCATTAAAAAAAATAATTAAAATAAATAAATAAATAAAAAAACACCTGTTGGGTTGCAAGCAATCAACCGCCACACATGTGACCCACAACATAAAAAAAAATAAAAAATAAAAAAATTGTTTTTTGTTTAGCATATCTAATTTTTATTTTATTAGTTATTAGGTTGTTTGTTTTATTTTATTTTTATTATTTGATTAATTAAAATAGTTTAGTTCATTACTTGTTTGGTCAATAGTTTTTATTTATTTAGCCATTAGTTATTTAAATAAAATATTAATGTGTTTAATTACATCATAGCTAGCTAGTTAGTTTAATTTACATGCATATGTGTAGTTGCGGTTTACTAATTTAGTTCCATACTTGTTAGTGTTGTTTATTTTATTTTTATTTTTATTTTTATTTTTTGTGTTTGTTTAACATTTTGAAAAAAAAAAATGATGATGAGAATTGTATGTGGTGAAACAGTGGGCAAACTTATGCTTTGATATTCTCTGTTATTCTCATGCTGGTTCCACGAATATATGTGTATCTGTTTTTAGTGTGTGCAGGATATGAGTAGATGGCTATCCACCCGGGCCTCCAAAAAGGGCAGAGGTCTATCCTCCTCGGCACCACCGTCGTCGCCGTCACCACCATCTTCACTACCCCCACCGGTTAAGTTACCAAGACTGCAGTGGGCTTCTCGCCCGCTTCACAAGCTCACTCAATTCAATATCCCATATTTTCATAATGACACAGCTACCTCTTGGGCCATTCAGCAGCTTTAACTCCGGCTACCTCTGGTCCGATTCTTCTACCAGAACATGTATGAGGAGCCCCTGGTGTCATCTCCACACCTTCTATCCACTATAGATGGCCACATCATCAGCATCACGTAATCCATGATTGCCAGGGTGTTAGGTCTCTACAACGAATATGAAAGCCATCTATTTCCCAAAGTTACAGATCATCAACCCATATCCCATA